TCTGCATGTAGGCAGGGGTGCCATGAGGAACAAATTGAACCTTAACGAATTTCGCCCCGTTTCCCCTATAAATGTAATGGTCCGAGGAGAAATTATCGAAAGCCTACGTATGCTCGTCAACTACTCCGCTGAATTCTCCGTTTGGAGCTTTGCAACTTTAACGACTAATGTCGAATAAAGAACAGAGGATAGAAGACGTGTTGCGCCTTAAAGTTCTCTATCGCAAAACCACCGACAGCGTTGGAGGAGGGTCTAGTAAAACCATCACTCTGCCTGCTGTGATGGTTTCGCATGAACGCAACTTTGCCTACTGAGCAGAACGAGGGAACCCAACGGACGAAGACAGCAGTGCCTACCCGCTTGCCTACAAAAAGTAATTTTTTTTTATTTTTTGGGGGGAGGGAGTACAGTTAGTCAAAACACAGTGGGCCTGGCACGTGCGATTGGACTTTCGTACCAGCTTATTTTACGTAAAGAGCATATCACCCGAAAATCTATATGAAGTGCAATCATAGCGAAAGCTCACAATACTACGCACTTATGCAAAACAGAGTACTCAAGAGTGCAACTATTGTTTTGCGTAGACCCATGGTCATCAAGAAATTCATAGCCATATTCATACAGGAGATTGTCAAACTCATGAAATGTCGAGATCGAAATTTGAGGGGCACGCTTAGTACACATTTGAGGTTGTTAATTTTGTTTGTTGGATTCGCTGGAGGCGCAGAAGGCCACTTAGGAAGGAAGGGTTTGTTTCAAATCTGTATAATGTGGGAATAGCAGGCCAGAATTTGGCAACTCTGAGGTTCCTTGATACCCACGAAATTTGCTATCTTGTTGAAAACTACAAACCAGAACCTTGTGCCGAACACGCCACGCCTTAGTCCCTCTCTCTCTCTCAGGCACGACTAGATAGCAGTCAACGTTAGGTCTGGCCATGCCAGTGGCCATTGTTGCTCGAGACAGCAACTCAGGGTTCTGTGCACAATCAACCCCTCCTACGGGTGCCTTTTACCTAAAACTTTGGATTTGGCCTCATGATCGTAGTGCCCTGAGTATAACCACTACTTCGACGTTACCACTTGTTTGCGCACAATACATCACTATAGGAGGGAAGTCATACATCAAATATTAGAAAGCTGTTGGAATGACCATATCTACGTTCAGTACGAACAGACCGTGAGAGCGTGGCCTGGCGATCCTTCTGGTCAACCGATATTCAGAGTTTGAAGCAAGAGGTATCAGAAAATTTACCTCAGAGATGACTGACTGCGGCCAAGCATTCATAGCGACGCCGCATTTTGATCCTTCGATGTCGGCTCTTCCTGTGATTGTGAAGTAGAATTCACCAAGCGTCGGACTGTTCATCCACTAATAGGGAACGTGAACTGGGCTGGTATTTACGCCCTAAGCTACACAGTGCAGTTAGTTGGGGGCAGTAAATAGTTCCTGAAAGACCCCGTCGATAAGGATTCGCTTCAGCTACTCTAAACCCCGCCTGACAAGTGGACAGGTCAGTGTGCGTTACTCGTATGCAACTGAATACGCCTGCATCACAGCCGGCATGATGTGGACATGAGCGAACCCAATCCACTCGCTCGCTCTCCACCCTGACGACTGCTTCGCAAGTCCTACTATCGGTCCGCCCATGGACCACACGCGAGTGATAACGCGCAACTTGCCGAAAGGATTATTTCTCTACCAAACTATTCGGACGATTCAGAAGGTCAGTCGACGTGCTAACCCCTCAAGGTCAACATCGGTGTATTTCGATCGCATGCCAGCCTTGGCGTTAAATACGTGGTAATAATACGTCAAAACGCAACTAGGCTCCCGCTCTCGCTGTTGAGTTCTGCTTTGGGGATTTGATCGGGATCTTGTTGGACGGACGTTGCTCAATTTGCGTTCAATTCTCGGGCACGCAATCTTCATCTGGGATATAACCGAAGCGACGGCAAAAACAAGCAGCAGGCAGCTAGTTCATTGTCCTTGATATAGTCAAAGTCCCAGTTTCTCCCATGCGCATGCGTCCAGTGGATTCTATCGAGCATATAAAGTACGTTTTGGTACTGACAGACTGGACGACGATGGGTAGACCTGGCGGCGCGTGATAGCTCCAGAGCACGACGATTCTCCCACGGATACGGTTGGACGCACTGCGGCCTAGAAACTTATTTGAATCAAGAATTTTTAGCGACACAGGCAGGTACACCGTAATGGACGCTTCTCGTTTATTTGACGTCAGCCTAGACTACAGGCCGAAGGATTGAAGCTCGAATACATTAACAATCCAAGAACGCTCACCAGCGCACTGACGGGTTTGTGTCATCTCGTATTGCTTTAAGTGAACTTCCACATAGGACCTGGATGATCTTTTAATGCGAACTCGCCAACTGCTCCAGTCCGTTATTACCTAAAAGTGGAATTGTTTCCTAGAGATAATGGCTTTGGGGAAACCCATCAGATATGTCACCAAATCACAAGGCTCTCGGCGATACAGGTTAGCTTCAGACTAGAACGACTTCCGGATTTATTTCGTCCATGGTCACAACGGTAGTTTTAATCGCGCTGATAAACCGCGACCATACGTTTTGAACTACGATTTCTAATAGGTTAAATTAGGTTCTTAATTTAAGTTACCAGTCCTTCGTCGTTGGTTAGAACTGTGACCGCATATGGGGCCTTCAAAATAAGGCCACATTAGCAATATAACTTTTAACGTTAAGTTGACCGAACTTAATTCTAACAAAAGGTGAGTACCGTTGATAGTGGTGGATAGGCGGTAAAGGGTTACACTGTCTGTAATAATAACATTAATGTTAACCAGGTAATTTATTAGAAAAAACGCTTCAAAATTTCCACGATTAAGGAGTGAGGCGCTTCGGGTCACGAGGGAACATTGAAGTCTTCCTGATGTTGTCCAAACCAAGGAACAGCATTGCGACACGTTCCAGACCTATGAATAAAGGAGAGAAGCGGATAAAAGTCACGATTAAGCTCGAAATAGGATACAAAACTGTAATGACAGCGTTCAAACTTGCAAAAAAATGTGTGCAAGATATCTGCCGTACAAAGGGCGGGTTAAAAGAAGACACGACTGCATAAATTAGAGCGTGCTTGGAAGGACGTGGTAGTATGCATAAGTTACTACGTAACTTCAGACGAAGTTTTCAAGACAGAACTAAACACATCCCTTAACGTATACCATCTCTACGCAGAGGCTCGAACACATATGGGGACGTATCCTATAGGACTGTCATAGGCACGAACTTAGCAGCCAACTACTGCTCTGCTTCCCTCTTCACTGTTTCCACTAGCTTATCAGATATGAGAGTTACGTAACCCATCATTTCGTTTTAATAAGTAAAAAAAACAACATACCAATGCCACCACCGGCGTGTGGAGGACAGCCATATCGGAAGGAGTCAATATATGACTTTATCGTAGAGATGTCTGAAAAGCCAAACAAGAGTTAAACAGATATTTAGTTGAAATTAGAAGGAAATGAGTGAAAATATTCTACTTTGAAATATTAGGTGGTGGTAATTGCAGGCCAACCTGTGGCTTGCGAGTCGAAATCACCCCCCAAAAGGAACTAAGAGTCACAGAAACACGTATATTCGCGTTGATGGCGGCGACCGGTAGCTCAAGTGTGATAACTATGTAACACATACCATAATGGAAGGCTTAACTAAGAAGAAATACCTCAGTGTGGGAATTAATAAATGAACTGTAACAACACTAACGGGGGTACACGTCACAAAGAGCGATATTAGCACCAGGAAGTATCCACTTTGGCTGCACCGTGTGCCAAATACATTCAGATCGCTCTTATGCTTTCTGATTTACCACATGGTCATCTGGATAACTGCAAATCTCGCTGTTTCTGTTGTTGTCGTTATCAAAAAGGGCAACAGGAAGATAGTACTAGATAATTAAACCATAGGCAAGTTAAACCGGCCTTGATAGACTATTCCGACAGAATAGCATTCTGAAACCTCTAGATATTCAAGGCAAACTGGGTCATAGTCAACTGGTTGAAACTCGTGCATACCTATATTGTGGGCCTTGGCGCGTTCCGTGAGGAACTCAGGTTCATGAATCCGCTGTGCACCAGACATTATCTCCTCACCTCGCATGAAGAAGTCGTAGGAATTGGAGTAATTCTAAAGTAGAACACATAGGTTAATGGGTAAGGAGAATAGTGAACATATTTGCGACCCCTGTTGATTTGACTATGTGTACCGTGGATGTTCTAGAGCGTCTGAAAAATGCCGTCCTGCCTCACTCGTCTAAAACGACCACATTTATACAAAAAATAGACAACTGTTATGTTGCAACCTTGGGCCAAAACGAAACCTATCAAGTGGTTACTCAAGGTACGACGCATCATGGAATAAGTTGCGAATTGAGCTTCCCCGCCCCACCTCACCCTCATATAGACAAAATTCATACCGGTAAGTTTGTAAGGCTGATAGTAATGCTATGATTGGCTTTCAGACAAAGAACTAACTTTGGAGAGCTCGGTTGCACGGTCAGCAGTGCGGCAGCAGTGCGGCAGCAACGGTGATGGTTCGAAAATTTGCTGGCTGACGGTCGCGTAAGCAGTGGCCAAAGAGCTGATTGTTAACCGTACATATCCCCAGGAACACTTGTGGCAACCGAGTGCATGATGAACTCGTTCTAGCACAAAGGATCACCTTCTACTGAAGTCGGTCGACTGCGGGATCGAGTGGATTTAGATCAACTGGTCAGCTAAGTCTTTAGTTAGTCACACCAACGCCATCGTCAGTCGTGCCGAAGGGGTACACAAAAAGGGGATTTTCT